TGTGTGTGTGTGTGTGTGTGTGTGTGTGTGTGTGTATCAGGTTGTATGTGTTGTGGGTGAAGGATTCCCTGCGACAGACTGTGCACAGACTGTTGTGTGACATGGGTTTCCATCCCACCCCTCCCTGCCTTCCCTGCACTCGGGGGTACACAACGCATACAGTTGACGTTTTAAAGAAGTGCAGTCCTGGGTGGGGGATGTCACCTCTGTGCAGGCTGCATGGTGACCTCCAGGTGGCTCCTCCAGGCTCTGCCAGTCCATTGAATTCTTGATGAATTTGCAACTCAGTCTTTGTTTTCCCTCCCACCCGCATCTGATGACGTCGGAGCTGTGGGCTCTATAGCCAGCCTTTCAAACCAAACTACCACCAAGCTCAGTCTGACTCCTAGGGGCCCCACAGGACAGGGTGGAACTGCCCCGGTGGGTGTCTGAGACTGTAATTCTTGATGGGAGTAGAAAGCCTGGTCTTCTCCCTCTGAGTGGCCCAGGCACCTCTAGTCCTGGTTGAGAGGCTGGGCCCCACGCAGGCCTTCAGTCCCGTGGACGAATAGCTTCCTTTGTCCCGTAGTTGTATCTTAGATGGCCACTCTCAAGCTGTGAAGACCCCAGATTTGAGCCCTCAAACTAGGGTGATAGGAAACAGGATCTTTATCAACTGTGTGGGGCCAGCTGACTTCAGTCACCCCAGGGCCTCCGTCCGTCCTTCGAGGTGTTTGGCTGCGTAGGAATCTATAACTCTGCTCCTGTGGGCTTTCTTGTCAATGGCTGTACTGGCAGACATGCCTGCACAAGCGCACACGCGTGTGCTTCCAGACCCTCCCACGCGCCGCTGGCATGGGTAAGCACCCATGGAACCCCTCACAGGCGTGACGTGGCTGCACTGTGGTGGCAGTGTGTGTACCTGCCGGCATTTACCGCCTTGTCCTGCACTCTCAGACCTCCGTGACTTCCTTGACCCCGGTCAGGTGGGCTGACCTCCCGAGAGTGTGCATGGCTGTTCCCTGCACCAGAATTGGCACTCAGCACTACAACCCTCTCCTCCACATACACACTTTCTGAACGAGTCGAGTACCTACTTGCGCTGCACCAGCGGTACCTGCACCAATCGGCTGCCTTCACTCCGTGGAGCGCCCCGCAGGCCCATCCAGGTTGTACGATGCTCCGTGGACTCGCTGCCCTGCTTTATGTTGGTATAGTTCTCGAGGGCTGTCCGCACCACAGCTTGTCCATTCTTCCCGTGGGGCCTGATGGTCGCTGCAAAGACCGCTGCAGTGAGCGTGGGTACGCCATGTCTGCCCATGACATGACTGTGCTGACGGGTTTCTGGGGAAGCGGAGGACAGGTGCCGCAGGGGCGGGTCCATCGCAGCAGCCACCAGCATGTGTAAGTGCCCGCCTCCTCACAGCCCTGGCAGCGCGTGCTTGTTGAGCAGGCCCTGGTTTGCGGGGGGCCAGGTGGTAGCTCCTTGTCCTTGTTAATTTGCAACTCTAGTGACTGATCACCAGGAGCAGCTCGGTGTGCGCACGCGTGCGTGTGATCTGGCTGAAGGTTTTCTTGGTGGAATGTCTGTTCCAATCCCGCCACCAGGGCTCCTGCCCCAGTCCTGATGCTTGAAGGTGAATGGCGAGACGTGAAGGAGGGCCTGTGGAGAAAAGATGGTGCTGGGTTGCTCCTAGCTAGAGTCCGGTGCTTCACCTTTGTCCTTGGAGGTGAGCTTCACACACCGTCACTGCACGGAGCCGAGCAGCGTTTGTGAGGTAGACAAGCCCGCCTCTACGTGCCAGAGAGTTCCTTGGGCCTGGGGCCTCCACTGCCCAGAGGCAACCAGTGTTCTGTCCGTTCCAGAACTTCCTTCAAGTAGTAAACTGTGGCTAGCATTGCAAAGAAAGGGAATTCCAGAACGTTCCACGGTGTTCATGCGGCACTGTCCATGGAAGCAGCTATCGGACACCAGGGGGAGAGAGACTGTGCGGTTTGATCAGAAAAGGGCGCTCTGCCCAATTGCCATAGCAATGCCATCATGGACACCAGCCGGCTGCAGCCCATGGTGCTGGGTAGGACTGGCTCTCAGGACACCACAAGCTGCCCCATCCTCCGCAGCATGAAAGGCCTGCAAGGGCGACGTGCTCACTGGTGGAGGCCGAGCAAGAAGCCAGAGGCTGTGCTGAGGCTGCCGCCGTGTCTCGGGCATCTGGTTGACCACTCACTCAGCGGGGACGAGCTGCACTGATACTGCATGTAAACATAAATAAGTGAAATTAGCAGAGGTAGGGATGGGGCAGAATCCTCTCAGGGAGGGGTGGGTGGCATGTGAATGAGTGATGCAAGGAGCTGAGCCCTGAAAGAATGCAGCATCGAGGTGGAGAAGACTGGCAGGTGACAGCTCGACAGCCTTGCTTGCTGGTGTGAGAACTGGAGGCTCTTATTGCTGGAGAAGAGACTAGTCTGCGTTGTGTCGACAGTGCACCTCAGCATGCCCCCTCCCCCCGCGCCACACACACACACACACACACACACACACACCCCACCCCCCACCCCCAACTGACCTTCACAGCTGCACCAAGAAGCAGGGTTGTGAGAAGGGAGAAAGTGGCGAATATATTCCGTTACTTGGATCTTAAGTCAGGAAGCCAAACAGTGTCTTGCACTGGGAAATAAGGTGTCAGAGCAGAGGTTGAGGACCAAGCGGGTGCCTCACCCACCCTGGGGTGCTTTTGCTCTCCAGGGCTCGGGAGGCTGAGCACTGAGCAGGGCAGGCTGGGGAGAACTGATGCCGGTGACGAGTGTCGGTGGAGAAGCAGTGAGCATGCCCTGGGCTTTCAGAAGAGCAAACGAAGGTGTCTTGAAGTGCTCCTCAGGTGAGGGTGCGGTTCCTCGAGAAGGTGCCATGCGGCAGCATGGTAAGGGCACCGAGTGACCACCTGGACAGCACCGGCCAGCAGTCCGCAGAAGTTCTGCAGGCGCCGGGGGTGGGGAACCAGCCCGTCTGCAGCCTTAGGGGGGAGTGCTCAGTGTCGTCACCCCCCTCCCCACAGTGTGCTCATAGCACGCCCCGTCCGCAAGGGCGCTGCTTCCTGCCCTTGGCCATGCTGCAGCCGGACTTCGCCGGAAGCCTTTGGGCTTCCCAGCACGTAGGAAAGCGAGGCTGACACCAGGCCGGCCGTCGTCTGCAGTGACAGCTCCGTGATGAGTGGCCAGCGTGTGGCCCAGAGACGGGAAGCAAGCACAGGCGTGAGAAATGGGCACCGGCACGCTTGCTCAGGGGGGCAGGCGGTGCACAAACCTTCCTTTTGTGGTCAGACAAAATGACAGCTGGGAAATTCGGTAAAGCCTGGTATATGCGGTAAGCAAGGTGTGCCTGCATTGCCCCAGCCTGCGTCGGGCCTCCCGTCTCCGGGCTGTCACCGCCCTCAGGTGTTGAGCCCATCTGGACTCTGGTGACCCCGTGTGACCAGGTCCCCTCCGTGCACAAAGTGACCGTGCTCTGCTGCCGCCCCATAGTTGGCAGCTCCTAAGGGAGAGCTGGTGAACTGCTTTAAGTGGTGACAGCTTAGGAGCCCCGTGGGCAGCCCCACTCTGACTCGAAGGGCCGCTGTGGCTCTAATGGCCTCGGCGGCATCCAAGGGCACCTCCACCCACCCGCTGCACTCAGAATCCGAGCTCTGGGCTACAGGGAACCGGCCGCCTGATGCAGCCCCAGGACAGTGCACAGCGCAGCAGCCCCTTGGGCACCGCCAT